GACCGGTGTAGAAATAAATATTAAATATTCTCTTCTGGATTTAGCAATTCCAAACGTTCCGCCTGATTTGTGACTTGACACACTGTAGACTGCAGTCTATACATGAACTACGCGCACGTAACACTAAAACGAAGTACTCTCCAAACAAGAAATTTTTTCCAAACATTCAAATGAAGTGTAATTACAACCGTGCGCGCAGTGGTGACGAGAATTAAACTAAATTTACTGGTACCACAGGAGTTTAAGTCTGTATCTCACCACGAATCAGTCACTATCTTGACGGATTCCCCCGCTTTCGCCACGTGCTGGTGGTTCATTCGGTCAGCATCATGGTCACATCTCCCCCCGCGCCTTGATGACCTTCGCGGCCTTGAATGACCCCTCTTCACGTGGACTCTAAGCGGGCTGTCTCGCATCAAAACCGAACAGCATTAACCGCTTTGGGAATTCTAGCTCGACAGAGAATACTTCGAACCCGTACACACCCTAAATACCAGGGCAGTTCTGTTCCATGCGTCTATTTTCCTTCCAATGAGTGACAGTTTTTCTCTTAAAACTAACGAATCACTTTCAATTAATGTTTTTTTTAAAGAATTTTTTAAGGATTCTTTTTTACTTTTCGCTTTCTTTTTAAGGTCTGGTAACCTATCATAAACAAAAATTGAACACTGTATAGCGTTTGCTTATCCGCTGCAGAATTGAGTTGAAAATGCCTACCATGCCAACTGAAATGCATACATTAGTTAGCTCAGTATATATTGAAAACATCCACTACTTATCTTACTGTTGTCGCCTTTTATTCACAGTGAAATTACATTTAAACAATCCAATAGAGTACAAAACGATACTCTTAATAAAAAAATTATTATTTATTACGACTATTATAAGTTGGCTGAGAAGGAAGCGGAAGGGCAAATGGTGCAGCGACAGAATTTGTATAAGGGGTGGGATGATCGTGTTCACACTACGCTCCATGGGAGTTGAGTTTTCTATACTATCAACGACACGACTGTGCGTGTTTATGAGCCAGGAAGCGCTGTTTAAGTGCTACTAACTATATTTTAGTAACCAAACTATCTTACACTAAACTGAAGTACATCACAAGTTCGGGGGACTTTTGAAAACTTACATGTCAGAAGTCGCCGGAGGTGCCCAAACGTGCGATAGGACATCACACCACTCTCTAAATGAAGGAAAAACGAAAAGGTCAGGAGTTCAAAAAAGTGCTAAAACAAAGAGCACAGTGTCTTTCACAAGCCTACCGAGCCATCGGAAGTAGTCCAAGACCATTGCCAGTACAGCATTTATCTCAGTGAGGTAGGGAGATAGGTCGTAGACGACGCCGGGATGCGGAAGGCGTTGAACCTTCTCACGTAACTGATTCACTCGAGCCACCATCTTCATCAACTCCGCGTACTTTTTGCACCACTCCTCAGTCTAGAGAAAAAATGAGAGGATGCAGCAGTCAGTCATGGTACATCTAAGGCTGCCTATAGAAGACTGCTTACGACGGTCGAACAGTCGTGCGCAATAGCCATTTGCTTAAAATAACCTGGCTCTCGCCCAATTG